ACAAGACCATTACAGCAGTTGCTGACTGTTTCAAGATGGATGTTTGTTTTTTGCCTCTGTGTTGACTCTTAATTCTGTGGATTCACTAACTAGCACTGACTTGTTTATGTTCTAAATGTCAGTGCTTATGCTTTTATTAATTTTCTTAAATTCTGGTATGGTGACTGACACTAATGACAGGAAATGATTAATGAATGGGACCCTGCTGGGAATGTGTCACATTCTCATGTTTGTATGGAGCTAGTGACATACTGCATTATTGGCTTTCATACATTTTCTGCCACTTTTTAATTGTTGAAACACTAAAGTTTGTCTCTTGGTCTGCAGTTTCAGTTTATGCTCTTTAATAAAAAAGCTCCAGTGAGCCAACTGCCAGCAGCTGTTAATAAACTAATCACTCCCAGTAAACAATTTCCTTTACGACTTTTTTAAGGCACGATAGACTCCTAAAAAATCTGCCCTATCTCTTGTACAGTTTTTTGAGAACCTTTGGTGGAAGAATCAAGACTGTGCTATATGTAAATGAGGAGAAAGGGGATACTTGTACTGGCTGCTCACATAGTGAGAGGTGAGACATAGTGGGGAATTGATATTCTCTGAGGCACCCTATTGCAGATCAAGTTGTGGTACCTTCACTCTGGCCTCCCTGAAACCTCTCTGGGCAGCTACAGTCAGTGACAAATTTGGCTTTGCTTCAGGCTGGTAAGATGGGAATTTCTTTCTATTTAAAAATACTCTGTTAGAGTATGCTGTAACTCTGAAAAGGGTTTAAAACAGTCAAAGTCATGGATCAAGTTGCTGGAACTCTCAAAGAAGATCTGGACTGGGGGTTTTGATGTTGTGGCTTAATCACAAAGCAGTGCTTCCTCCTGTCCAGAGCTTCCCTGTTTGGTGCTGCTTTGCTGCCCTTATCTCATACCACTATTTGCAAAACCTGCCAGCAAGGTTTTGAACTGGCTTGTTTGGCAAGTGCAGGCCACACCTCAGTTTCTCACAGCTGGAGTGCAGCCCAGTCCTGCGCAAAACTTCAGACCAGTCTGTAGCAAACAGCGCTTCACAGCCGGGCGTCCAGGGACTCTCCTTATTTTCTGGGTGTCCCTGTCAGATTTTCTGCAGAGACAAGAAGACATTTTTCCCATGTTCCATAAGGTGCTGCGGGGCCCACTTCCACCCAGAGTGCTGCCTTGCCTGGCAGCTGTGCTCTTCCAAAGGAAGGAGAAGAAAGAGACTGGGTTTTATCACTGGCGGGTAAGACAAATCATAGTGCTGTCTTTGAGATGTCTCTCCTTATCCAATGTGTTCAGTAGTGACTTCCTGTTACTGCATGTGTGGAAAACCGGTTCTGTACTTCCACAGGAATTAAAAAGTTTGTTGTTATTTAAAATTTGCCCTGAATGATAATGCTAATAGAGATGCCAGGCTTTTATTAAATTTAGGGTCTGTGTGAGGAAATGCAGAGCAGGTCTGTGTTTCCTTAGTTTTTGGGGAACACAAGCTGATGCCAAGTACTTTTTTAGGGGGAGAATACCGCACTTCTCATTAGTAGAGACAAAACCATGCTTATGTGTTTTCTTACAAAATATCCTTGATTACAGTTCTCTTCTTTTATGCTCTCTATCTTATCCTACATAGATTAATGGTCTCAAGTAGACAAATATTAATAATGATGTGAGTCCCTGTTCAAAATGCAGTGCAACCACTACAGATAAGGTGGTTTTGATGTGTTTGTCCTTTGACTGGTGTGAAATCATTTCATTGTGTAACATGGTCTGACCAATAACCTCAATTTTGAATTACATTAAATGTTTGTGAAGGAGCCTCTGACTAGGAGATCTGATCTGTAATCTGATCACCTGTCGTGTTGTCTCACACTAATCCCTCAATATACAACTTAAAATTGAGATGACCATTAAATGTCACAAAATGACTTGCTGCCTGTATGCCTTTATGCACTTCTGTTTGCTGCATGATAAAAATTATCTTGTTGACTTTTTAATGTTGTTGTTTAGTACTTGGGAAATCAGGGTAGAAGAGGCTAGTGTTAGCCTCCATTATCCTGCAAACCACTGAATATTATATTTCCCCTTAAGTGCTCACTATACAAATAAAATTTAAAAAGTTAACACTACTTAGTGAAGTTAGGCTGGCTGGTAGGAAGACAGCCCAACAATTAGACAATTTTGTATTGTCTAATTGGTAGCAATTGAGCAAGGAGTGAGGCAGCAGATCATCCTTTTGGCTTTGTAAGTAAATTTCACATGATCAGATCTCTTTAATTTTCCAGAGTTTAGCTTTACTTTCACACTTCTAAAGGCAAACAACAATAAACTGAGAGTGACCCCAGTGTTTGCCACTGCTGTTGTGTTACTGAGCTGCTAGCACTACTCATAACCTGACTAACTATAAATCTTGCCTGCCAAAAGACCATGATTCTTAAGGCTGCATCTGTAAGCCTCCATTCATGACTGCAGATGCACACTCCTGGGGGAGGAGGGAAGCTGCAGAGTGCCTAGGAAAGCCAGGTGTTTGCTTTTGAGTTTAAAAGCAAACTTGTGACGCCTTGACCACAAGGAAGGGAATAATGGGCAACATGTTTTCTTGGGAGCAGGAACAAGATGGGGAGAAGGTGCTCCATTGGTATACTGCACATTTCTTTGAGCTACCTGATTTTCCCAGTAACTGTGAACACAAAATATATATTTTTATTTGCTACAACAACATTTTTATAATGCAACTGGCATGCACTGACAGATGTGGAGTGGATCCCAACACTTCCATCCCACTGAATAAAGACAGTTATTCTGGGCTATATGAGAGTAAAGACTACTGGGTCCTGTAGCTGGGATGACTAGTTTTACAGTTGCTTGCTGCTGCAAAAGCACCTTCAGTTTAGATGAAAGGTACAGACAATTGTTAGTGAAGTTAAGTATGTGAAAATTCAGTCTTGTACCCTCATTTTAGGATTTAAAGGGTTGGATTTTTTTGCTTCAGATGGACTCTCCGAAGCTCTGGAAAAGCAGTGATTCTGAAAAATCATTAGACTGCAAAGTAGAAATTAGTTGCTTGCATCAGACACATACATTGGTATGCTGCCACGTATGCCGGTATAGGCAGAACTGTCATCTGTATTTGTTCTCCATTTCCCGTACAGATTTCCTACCTGCCTTTTCCTTGATCATTCAGATAGAGCATATCTGATACTCCCATGCTTTATTACTCTGCAAGCTCACCTGGCAACATGCTATGACCTTGCTATGCCTTGGCTAAAAGATAAGTACAAAAGGCATATGAGAAGGTTCTGGCATAATTGATAGCACAGGCTTGGGAGCACAGTGAAATGTCAGCTGGGTTCTAGGCCCTTAAATTATGATCTGGGTGTGGAAAATGTATCATCAGCTGTGTAACGACTGGCTGTAAATCAAAGGTTGTTAGAGACCTTTGGAAAGGACTTTTTTTTTGAGCATGTAACTACATTTTGACAGATGGTATGCAATAAAAGAGAGATAGGCTATCTTCAGGGTGTTCTGAGCTTCCTCTGCTAATAGTGTGTGAATTTCAGGTGATAGCCAGGCTACGTGAGTGAAGATTACTTTCACAGCTGTGGAAGTGTGATTATGTAGCTTCATTTCTCAAAAACCAGGAGAGTTGCAGCAACTTTAGGAAGTTGATGGGAATGACACACAGTCTTGAATTTCTATGTGTAGTGCATACCTCAACTTGTTGAGGTTAGGCTTTGCCTGAGAAAGTAGTGTCAGTGACTGAATAAAAGTGATTAGGAAAGGTTTAAAAAGGAAGAAAAACTAGCATCTCAAGGGTGAAGCTCATGGTGAAATTAGATGTAAAGGCATGTCTTGTTCCCAGAAACAAATAAAGGAATGAGTATCTTCAACATGTCAGTGCTGCAAATAAGAGTCCTTTAATAATAGTATAATTGGGGTTTATTTGTCCAAATTTAATTTGGTACCTGCATGTGTGATATATTAGATGATCCATGTAATTTTTCCTCTTCAGTTGCTGGTCAGGGTGGATGGTATCTGCTTAGTACAAAGATATTCAGTATGCTATGTATGCTTTGGTTTTATTGTGTTGTTCAAACCCTGTTTTGCAAAAGCTGGCAAGTATCTCCATGTGATTAAAAATGAGGAAAACTTACCATGCATGACTGCTTAACAAACATAGTATAGTGCCATTTATCAGATAAGGAATATTCAAGAAGAGTTTAACAGTTCAAGGTTCACTGGCTTCCTTGAGATTCCTGTTAGTGGTATGTAGTATGTAGTGATTTGTATGTATTTATATAATATTTCATAGAATTATAGAATGGTTTGGGTTGGAAGGGACCTTGAAGATTATCTAGTTCCAACCGCCCTGTCATGGGCAGGGGTACCTTTCACTAGACGAGGTTGCTCAGAACTCCATCCAGACTGGCCTTGAGCACTTCCAGGAATGGGCCAACCACAACTTCTCTGGGAAATCTGTTTCAGAGCCTCATTTATCAGTCTGCAGCATTTTTTTGTAAGTGAAGATCCTGTTGAATTCAGTTCTAGATGAACACTTAGCGTATCTGGAGTTAAACTCTTGTCTCAAGCCAACCATGTAGGAAATTGTGAATGTAAACTATTGACCACTTGTGAAAAGCATTTTGAAAATGTGATTTAAGAATAGAAAAAGTTCCTAACTGGCCAGGATTGTGTCATAATTGATGAAAATGAGGCAGAATCCCATTTTGTTCCTGAGCCCTACACAATTATTTCTGTGCAGTCTCTGTACTAAGTCATCTCATGCTGTTTTCTCTTGTCTTCTCCTGCCCTCCCCCCACTTTTCCTTCATAATCTTCTAGAATCCAGACAGGCTTTTTTTCTCACTTCACATGCTGGCAGTTAGATACTAATATTACTTTCCAAAAATAGTCTCCCAGAAGCTTTCAAGAGCACGGATTACATTTTGATCTATGTTGGTAAAGTCACATGCATGTTTAGAGTGCTGATATCAGTAACGGTCCAGAATGAAAAGGAATTTAAGTTTTGTCTTTTCTTGCTCAAACTGCCATGAAGTATGTGTTCCTGCAAGAAAGTGTTAGTTGTTTTTTTTCCTCACTGTAAACAGCATATGCCTTCTATGTCTTGAGACCATGCTGTTAAGATTCTTGCCATGTCTGCTTTTACTCAAGTGTGCATGTGCCCTTGGCAAGTAGTCTTAAATTAGTCGAGTCATGATCATAATTATTTCAGCAGCTTCAGTATCTGTTTATTGTCCAGTAAGAATGTACTAAGGAAGAAATTAAAAATTGATCTATAATTAGAGGAAACCCTAAATAAGGGATTTATTTTCTGAAGTCTATGAGGAGTTACTTTAAGATATCACTCATGCTGCTGAAAGGGAATTGAGTTTCCTTCTGGACTCCTTTGGTCTTCCTCCAGGACACTGAAAGTGCTGCAGAGATTCCCAAACTGACTCATTAGTAGTTTATTTTGGGCTGGCTGGTCTGATCTGTTTCTCTGGACTTATTCTAGTGTGTTTATAGAACAGGCATTGCAATCGAGTTAAATGCTTAGCTTGTTCCTTTCTTTTCAGTGGGAAAAGCACCCTTACTACAACCTAACAGTGAAAGTCCTCCGAGCCAGAAACATCAAGGGTACAGATCTGTGTAAGTATTTAGTCAAGGTATTATGAAAACAGGTTGGTTGGTCAGTGCATACCTCTAACACAGGTAGCATTGTTAAGGGAGCTTCTTACTTACACATACTGTATTGCCTTTATGTCTCAACAAGAGCTTCTCTTGTAAAGCATTATGTATACTTTAAAATCTTGATGTGAGCCAAGCTGCAGATTAAGCGTGCTACTTTGCAGAACAAGATCAACTCCTGATAATGTTTTTCTTCCCTGCTCCTTCACCTGTCCTACTGTGACCTATTCTGTATTCCTTTCTCTGGATTCAGCCCTCTGCTCATGGCAAGTTTCACCCTTGCTCCTGCTAAACAGTCTTCATGAACCTGGAAATAGAAATCTTCAATTCTAGCTTCCAAATGTTTATTTTCTCAGCTGTAGTAGTGCTTTATTTCATGTACCTGCTATTTGCCATTGAAGCCTTTAAAGAAGTAGGTGGTTGACTGATTCCAAGACAAGCTGCTTTTTATCTGTTCCTGTTTTTGATAGCATGGTATATATTTCCTTCCATTTACACGTCTGTGTAAAGATCTCAGGAATGTTTGAGGCATTTGGATCTTTAAAACTCATTTGAGATTTAATTACTTCAGATTTAATCCAGTAAGGTAGTCTGCCTTAAGTTTATATCTGGCATCCAATACTGAACTACTTGGAATGCTAAATAGCTGTTCAAGGAATGGAAAACCCTCCTGAGAGGCTGAGGGATAGATTCACACTATGAAGAGTTCTTTTTCATGGGCTATCTGTTCAGCTGGAGTGAAGAACTGTTCCCATACTTGCATTGAAGAAGGGGCCCTAACTGGAAGAAAGTAGGACTCAAAGACAATCAGTTATTTTCAGGGAATGGAAACAGATAGCTCAGCTCCTGGCCAGACTAAATGAGGGTATAGCAGTGGTGGATGTTCTCTACTTGGACTTTGGTGGGGCTTTTGACACTGTCTTCTGTAAGATTCTCATAGATAAACTGATGAAGTATGGGCTGGATGAGCAGACAGGGAGCTGGACTGAAAACTCAGAGGATGGTGATCAGTGGTAAAAAAACTGGAGTGTCTCTCATATGAGGAAAAGCTGAAAGATCTGGGGCTACTGAGTGACACATTGGAGGATTCAGGGGGATGTCATTGATATGTACAAGTATTGAAAAGGAAGATGTTAAGGGGATGGAGCCAGGCTCTTTCAGTGGTACCCAGTGACAAGACAAGAGGCAATGAGCCTGGTATCAGCAGTAATCGTTTTTCAAAATTTGATCTTCTCCATTTAAAATAGTAGTCTCTTTTATTAAGGGCTTTATGATTTGGATGAACGAGAAAAAAAGAAATAATATTCAATTTGCTGCCGTTTGAGAACATGTACTTCATTAAAGGCTTTTGCTTTAGAAGTCCAGTCTTAAATTTACACTTTTCTATGATGCAATGAGATCTAGAAAATGAGGAGTTTATGGGAAAAGTTATGTTTGATTAAAGTTGTTCTGACGTCTGTCTCTGCTCTCTCTGCTGTAGTGTCCAAGGCAGACTGCTATGTGGAACTAAAGCTGCCCACTGCATCTCCCATAGTCTCCCGAACTCAGGTTGTTGACAACTCTGATAACCCAGAATGGAATGAAACTTTCCGATATCGAATCCATAGTGCTGTCAAGGTAAGGAGTGCACTTTGTGGAGCTGGTTGGACTATAATA